TTAATAAAAATATAGTTCGTACTTCACCAAAAAACATAAAAACAAAATCCCTAAACTTTGAAAAACTCAGGAAAATTCAATAAATTTGCATACTAATTTGCAACTTTTTATTCAGATTTTTTAGAAAAATTCTAAGTATGTAGTTTTATAGCCCAACTAATTTTAGTATAACAAAGAGCAAGTTTGAAGTATCTTAAAAATGCGTTGATTTTTGGACATTTTTTTAGTAGAAGGTGTTGCTCATTTTCTCCATACAAAAAAAAATTGTCGAACATACTTTGTACGGAAGAGCCTGACTGAAAAAAAATTGCCAAAAATCAATGCGATTTTTTAGCACCTTCAAGCTTGCACTTTGTTATACTAAAATTAGTTGGGCTATAAAACTGCATACTTAGAGTTTTTCTAAAAAATCTGAATAGAAAGTTGCAAATAAGTATGCAAATTTATTGAATTTTTTTTTTGAGTTTTGCACAAAATTTAGAGATTTAGTTTTTATGTTTTGGGGTGTAGGACAAACTATATATTTATAAAAAATGATCGAAAATAAATTAGAATAAAAAACTTTTCAGATATTGCGAAAAATTCTCTGTGCAAATACTTTTGTCCGGCACTGTATGTATTTTCGTATGAATACCACATAGAAAAGAAAAAAAAAAACATGTTTATACATAAGTACACTTAATAAAACCATCCAACGGTTTACAAAAACGCCATCCTTTTATTAAAACAAAAATATAATAAAAAAATTAAAATTTGCATGCATCGCCTTTTAAATGCTTTAGTTGAAGCGCTCACCAAAGGCTGCTTTGTGAGCAGCGAGGGAGCGCCATGAACGAAAGACACAAGATCACGCGGGAAGGAAAGAACGAAAAAAGTTATTTTCTAGCTGCCGAAATCTCGACGCCATCTTTGTTGTAAGAAGTAAACAACGAAGAGAACGGAGAAAACCGCGAAATTGTTGAACGCATGAAAAATCATTTTTATTATGCAAATTCTTCTATAAATCATGCCGTTGTGTTAAATTATTCTTTATCTTATGTGTACACACGTTGTCACAAGCGAAAATGAAGAAAATTGCAGTAAAAAGCCACCACCAAATTGTAAACAACGAAGAAATGTAAATAAACGGCTAATGTCAAAGTCGCCCAACTTTTTTCCTAAATGCGATTCTAACGGGCTAGTCTCCAGCCCGCGTGATCTTGTCTTTTTGGTTCATGAGGGAGCGCTTCTTTCTAATGCCACACAGTGTTAAAATACAATGAAGTATGAACCCAACGGGACTGAAAGTGAGCTGGTCTCCAAAGGAGCCATGATTCAATAATACAAGGTGCGATAAACTGACAGTTGTCTCTCTCGCACCGTCCCCTTAGCAGTGGCACGGTGTTGCTTCTTTGCAAATTTACTTGGAAAAAGTGTAGCTTTGCTGTGAAATAGAAGTATAAGCTTTTGTGCAATATGTTTATTTGTATATGCATATGAAGCACATTTAATTGATGAAAACATAAATTGTTTTTAAATTGGATGTTTACATAAATCTCATAGTAGTTTTATTTTAATTGTGAGTCCTTTTGCAGTTTTTATACACCTAAATAGCACATAAATTACGTAATTCACGTATACAGTGAAACCTCCCTTGGGCGGACACTCAACGTCAGTCATTTTTTGTCCGCCCAAGAGAGANAAAAATATAACGATGGAAATTTATGTCACATCACGACACGTCAGGTCACGTTTCACACTTGGGGTTGTAAAAGAGAATTGAAACAATTTGCATTAATTCAAAAAACCCTAAAAACAACTAGAATTGCTGCAAATCATATCAAAATAAGTTTCATCAAAATAGCCATCCACAATTCGCAGAGTTTTGCGATTTTGCAAGAAAAGAAAAAATCAACTTCCATTTTTGTCACGTAACGAACCTCTCTTTAAATGCTTCTATTTCAGGACCAAGCAGTTCGATTGATTTAATTTTTCGGTTAAATATAGAGCTAATTACGTGCTATACAATGGCCCAAAAAAGTTAAAGAAAACAAATGGTATTCCTTTTTTGTATCACATTGAAATCGTACGACTGTCACGTGCGCCACCATGGGAATGCCCATATAACATTTCAGTCCATAAACTACATAAAACTATAGATGCATTACATAAAAAACTGGCAAATTGTCGATTGACTTAAGTTTTATTTTAAATTTTTTTCAGTGTCAGCACCTTTTTCATCAATAGTTTTCATGTTTTTATCAGTAACAAAATCCAACCAGAAATCTAAATTTTCGTTCCATGTATTTATTATTATCTATTNTTTTTCAGTGTCAGTACCTTTTTCATCAATAGTTTTCATGTTTTTATCAGTCTCCAAGGGTTTCTGATAATTCAAATAACGAACCTAAACCACTGCGCAAACCAAACTAAATGTGTGCATAAAAATCACATTTTATGCGGGAAGTCCCCCTTTTCCATTTAGTAGTCCGGCTATGAGGAGTTCGCGTCCGCTTNCGCGTCCGCTCAACGGAGGTTTTTGTTTGATTTGTTATGAAAAGAAATCTTAATGTCCGTTGATAAGAGGTTCGCGGCCGCTCGATAGAGGTTTTTGTGTCAATTTTATGCAAAATAACTGTCCGCGTCCGGCCAAGAGAGTGTCCGCTTAAGAGAGAGTAATTTGTTCCGAAATTTATACTTAAAACTTGGTATAAGAAAAAATGTCCGCCCAAGGGAGATGTCCGTCTAATAGAGGTGTCCGTTAGGAGAGGTTTCACTGTATATATTAATATTTCGTTCAATGTTTCGCCAGATTTCCTGCAAATACACTAGAATTTACAAAAGGAATTCACTACTAATTGTCTCCATTGCGTACTTTTCTAATGCCATTTTCGCAACAAGGGATTGCATTCTTCCCCTTTCTCTGTCCTTCGTAAATGCAACCTTTTGTAAGGGAGTGTCAAACCGCGGCTGTCAATAATTATCTAACCTGGTATTAGGCAAAAATGATAGAATACAAGATTGCGCCAATCGAGCTGAGAGCAACTGGACATGACGTCAATAAATACCAGAATGACAGAGCAAAGACGAATTCAATAAGAAAAAGAATCGAACAGCTGGGGCGAAATTGAAAGGTTTGTTTACAAAGTGCATAATAAATCGCGGATTTACGGAATTATTTAGTTTTAAATGGTAAATTGGTTGTTTAAAAGTAAAGAATGTGTACTTATTAAATGCAATGCAAATCGCTGAAAGTGTTAAATCACTGCAATCATTATAATGATTTGCATTTTTTCAGTAATTGAACAAATACCAGCGGGCAGCCAGCGGGTCAGTTGCTGGTAACAATTTGCAGAACGATTCCACGGTGATCGTTGCATCGTCGTCAATTAGTGAAATCAGTAACCAAGCTTTTAAAATAAAGGAAAACCTCCTACTCCGCTGTACATATACTTACTTTCATTATTTACCTACTTTTCCGGCAGCCGCAACAAATGCTGGCCCAAGCCTGGAAATTATTGCCAGCAACTGGAACGCTGGCTGCCCACTTGCATTTGTTCAACTACTTAAAAATTCACTTTGTAAACAAACCTTCACCCACATCAAGCGGCTCATCTGGATGAAATGAAAAGGCTGTTAGATGTAATGCAGGAACGTGCTCCCGATGTTGAACATCAGTTCAAAGAAAAGTCAAATGAGTTGGAAATGGCGCAGCTTATCATACGCCAGTTGTCGGATAAGGCCAATGTAAACCAAGGCGGCAATCGTATAGAGACCTTGACGTAGACGCAATTTATGTACGAGGAACAGATTAGAGACTTACAAGTAAGTTAGAAGTAGAAGTGCATTTGAAGATGTTTACATTATTATGTTTACGCATTTCTTACAGTCTATGGTGCAGGAATTTATGATGGTCACAAAATATATTGGCAAAAACATAGCAAGTGCATATGCCAAGTTGGAAAAATTGACAATGCGTGAGTATAAAATGAAAAGGTGTTCTTAATTATAAATATTACTTTACCTTTTCTTTTGCAGTGGCCAAAAAGAAGAGTCTATTTGATGATCGACCGCAAGAGGTTCAAGAATTGACTTACATCATGGTGTATGCGTTACAATCTAAATTAGCCAGCATGGGCACCGACTTCAAACAGTTGCTTACTGTCGTGCTGTTGTATTTCAGAAACTTTAAACGGCTAAAGCTAAATATAAGGAATTCGCAAGCTAACATAAAAGTTTTATTATAAAATTTCACACAATGAAAAAATTGTTGGTGGTGATTCATGCAACCTCACAAACGCGGTTTTGCATTATCATGATACGNAAATGTTAAGTCTTCTTCCAAAAGTCGCTATCATACTTATTTATAAACTTTCAAAAGTATCTATCTTCTGATGAACTTAGAGAACTGCTTTAGGTCGTATAGACTGTTAATGTTATCTTATGACATGTTATGTTACGTTACAATTTTATAAGGCTCTTTTTTATCCAAATTTTTAGGTAATAAAAAAGATTAAATTTAAATGTTACTTGTTGTCGTAGTCGTTTTTTCAAATTTATGGCTTTCTATTATAACATCACATAACGCTGTTTGCAAGTGGACTACTCATATGTACTTTTATTATTCGTTATCACGACAGTCAAAAATTGATCTCTTTGTTAATTTTTTG